CCCAGACAAGCCTCCAGTGCCTCTTGGCCTTATCTTCATCAGTGTTCATACTTATGTTAACTACTGCTGTATTTTTGGCAGCCTCAATAGTGTTGACTTTGGTTTCTGGAAAATGTTAAGAAAGAAACCTGAATTAAAAAAAAAAATAAAGAAAAAGAATTTATGCTTTCTTGAAAAGCTCCCGCTCTTAATGTACAGATTGAATTAAATTTTTCATCACCTTGAAAATTCAGCATGCAATTTTGCAATTTCAGGTTCTGCACAAACAAAAAGCCTTTAAGGCTTACTGAAGAAACTGCCTTTCCTTCTTAGTCTTCCCTTCATGTAGCCCTTCAGCTGTTTCTTTAGGATTCCTGCCTAGGTGAACAATAACCAAAGAGAAGGTTTTCAAGTCACTTTTATTTTTCTTATAAGAGAACCTTCTCTATCTTTAGCATCCTCCTATGCACCTAACAGCCAGACACAGAAATTTATCTCTCAGTTAATCCTATCTTTTATCACTTTTCCCATCATTAAAAGAAACCTAGTGAGGCTTAAAAGAATTATAAGCTTCTTTTTTTGCCATTATATTGGCTGATAAAAGCCTCAGTTTTTTAGATACTGAAAACATCATAAGTAACTTACTAGAGTCAGCATTTGACAACTGAAAACACAGCTCAGGCACAAAACATAGAGAAAGCACAGCACGGGCCATTCACCTTGCAAACTTTGCCTCGGTGTTATCTTCTCCAGTGTGAGTTTCAGGTCGATTTCTACACAGCCAGCCAGCCTTCCAGTAAATCAGTCATTGCAGCTCTTTCAAACAACGCTGTGCATTTGAATATTAAATAACATATCTTGAGGTTCACTGATAGTATCTGCACTACATTAATACCTATTGCATGCTTATATCCAAACAATGAATTCATCAAGATATGAACAAAACCCAGAATACCCTGTCCAAGGACAGTCCACTCTTTAGGTTTTGTAAAGCTTTAAAAGTAAATAAGAGGGGGATGTGGCCAGAATTGTAGATCCACCTCCTCAGACCCATTGAAAACAATAATGAATGTAAAGACAAGAAGAAATAGATAAAATGCAGTTTTGATAATTTCCAGTGACAGAGCAGTTTAAAAAAAACTGAACAAACCTCTCTAAACAGTCATGTCATTTAGAAATATTAATCATAGTGGAATTATATCCAGTATAAATTTCTGCAAAGACACAGCTTAAAAACCAAGTCTGTCAGTCTTCCCAGTCATAGGCAGGATTACTATGCACCAGACATGTTCAAGGATTAATTCTGAAGTAGCTAGTGTGAGCACCAAGAGCAGCACAGAAACAGCAGCATGGGCTTCAGCCACTGTCTATCTGCATGGGCCTGTGTGCCATAAAGTTTCTATTTTCTGAATCTGCTTTTTGGGCAGCTCTGGTCAGTGAAATTTTCAGTTATCAGATTGGTGTGCTCTAAATATCTGACCCCTTTAAATTTTTTAGCCATCATCCAAAAAGGTTTTTAAGAAGAAAAAGTTAAGGACACAACTGTTTAGTCTTTAGAAAATGATAATCCACCCATGTAGCAGTGATCTACAACAGCACTTTTTAGAAATAGTGGCTAAGAGCAAACTCACTGTCACTTTGAACCTGTGGGTGGCACCTGTATCAGTGCCAGTTCTTGCTAATTAGCTGAACTGCAAATATTTGCATTGACTCCTCACCCTCTAGTCCGCATGGATGCAAAACTCACAACAGGATGGGTATGTAAAGTGAATTTCTGATTCAGTCTCCAAGTCTTTGTACAGAGAGTTTCTACACTCATTGACATTGTTAGAAAAGGTTCACTTCACCTCACCTCTCCTGTACCACGCAGCACCAGCAGCCCATTTAATTTCCCTTTAGAGCAATTAGTAGTCCCTGAACTGACATCACTGAGAGCCAACCCACTACATGTCCTGGACCCAAGGAGGCGAGATAAAGAGTGTCCTCACCTCTCTTTGACTAGAGTTCACTTGATGGGATTGTGTTTTCTAGACTGAACTCTGATTTCAGTAGTTTGTCTTGTTTCTTACCTTTCTGCTAACATCAATCTGCAGAAAATAATGTTTTAAACTAGCTAGGCTTGTGACAGAAGCACATGAGTGAGTCCTGAAGAAACCACTTCATGGAGTTGTCACTCCAAGTATGCACCCAGAGGTTTCTTTCTCTTTGCCTGAGAAGGAGCTCATACTGTCTCATATTTTTGGATCACAGGTCCTCTAGTTCTTTTTGCTGGAATTAAAGATCTCAAACTTATGAAGACAACACAGTCTGGATTCGAAGGCTTCTATAGGAGTGAATACACCACACTTCCTGAGAGGCACGACAGGATTTTATGTGGAGAGCTCTTCTGCAAATGGTCATACGGCGAATGCAAAGATCTTGACTTTGATTGCATATGGTATAAGTCAAATCAAACAATATTACCTAATCTGTGGTCTCAAAGTCCCCCTATACAATACAGCAGGTGTAAGGGCCAGACCTGCAGCGGCAGCACTAAGCACTTGGTACCAGGGGTGAGAGGCATGCCTTTGGAGGCACTCCTCTCTCTGATGGTGGTGCACCACTGCACAGTATTTAAGGGAACAGTTCAGTGTTCAGTACAGAACACTTTATGAGAACAAACTAACAACTAATTTATTGAATACTTTTAGCAAAACACCTATTTGTGAATTATAGTGCTGATAGAGCTGTGGGGGGGTGGGAATTTGGAGGTGACAGAACAAAGAAATTGTTCTTCCATTACATCCCACGTGCCATGTATTTGTCAGAAGACAGAGAAAAATTAAAAAATAATAAACAAACAAAAACCCACAAAAAACCCCACAGCAAAACATTATGGATCTAGAGAGAGAGACAGCCAATACAAGGTTTTGTAAGAACCTGTGTTACTTCTAGGAACAAAGTCCGTGAATGTATCCTTGAAGCCTTTTCTGGGCCGCTCGACTGTGGGGAGTATTCGCCCTCCTACCAGAGGACTGTCAACTGTATCCAGATGCACATCTTTTCCAAAGTGTCACAGGTATCTTATTTCTTCCTGCT